CAATTATTACAATTCCCTAGTTAAATAGAGCTTTCTTTCTTTTGTGTTTTAAAATCTTGAACTCTCCTCTTTTGCCCTAAATTTCCCATTGTTTGCACCTACTTTTTTTGGTGAGGAAAAAGAAAAGAACTCTGCCTCTGCCTAATTTTCCAACGTTGCAGCAAACAGCAAAGCCGACAGCCTGCTTTACTTTCACTTTCGTTTTCAGCTTCATTTGCACAAGGAGAAAAAAAATCTGCTCCAGCAATTTAGCTCTTTGCAGCAACAGAGCCCTCTGCAAAACATCTGAGAGCAAATCAGCTGAGAGTTGGGAGGCCGATCTAATCAATGGGCTAATTAGCCTATGCTGAAGATGAAAGGAGTTGTTTTTTCTTGCTGTTTGCTTGCAAGGATAACTGCACAGGCCAAAGGGTGGGGGCTACCCTCCTTGCCTCTTACCGCCCCCCTAAGGCATCCCACCGCCCCCCAGGGAGCAGTACTGCCCACTTTGGGAACCACTGGTCTACTCATTTGTTTTAACACTGATCAGCTGTAGGGCGGCCTTTTGAAGCCCCACAGCAAGAGTTTAAACAGTTTTTTCCCTTCTAGCCGATCAGCTGGGACTCAGGAGGCAGCAATAGATTGGGGATGGGGCCAAATAAAAGTAAGAATAATGTGGGGGGGGCAGAGGAGGGGCGGGGGGGCACAGTCGGTTCCATGAGTCATATCGTCACCACTACCAGCTCAGCGGAACTGGGCCCAACCGGAAGGAACCCACCACTGCTGCAGATCCTCTCCACCTCTTCCTGGATTAGCGGAGGGCTTCCCGTCGCTTCCCATCAGATTGGGGGTTTCTGTGACCCCCAAGTCATCCCTGGCTGTGGGGTGCACCTCCCCTCTTCTCATCCAGCGCCACCCGATCCCCAAATTCTTCCTCCGGCAGAAATCTTCCTCTGGGAAAGGAGGAGCGTCCGTCTCGGCCAGATGCTTCCAGCCCCAGAAGAGGAAGGGGGGGTCTGAATTGGGGGGAGGAAGCGTTGATCTCGGACTTTGGAGGTGGGAAGGGCCAGAACCAGCAGCAGCACCAATGGGAATTCTTCCTGCTTGAGCGTCATCGGTCTCCGGGCAGAGTCCTTGGGGGCTTCACCTGAAGGAGGAGAGCCAGTTCTGCAGAGAGAGAGAAGCGGAGAAAGTGGGAGGGGGATCTTGGCCTGAAGAACCGAGCGGAACTCTCTCCTGCATTGGGTGAAGTCAAGGGAAACTCTGCCCGGAGACCGATGACGCTAAAGGAGGGAGAATTCCCATTGGTCCCCCTGTTCTTTCTGGACCCTCCCAATTCCGAAGTTGGAGGCAGCCCCATTCTGGGCCAGGCAGCCTTTCTGCAGTCCCTTCGCTTTGCGGGGAGAGGGAACCGGTGGGAAATTCCACTGCCTGAGCCAAAAGGGTCTACGGCAGGGGTGAAATGCTCCCGGTTTGGACCGGATCGCCCGATCTGGTAGTGATGGAGGCGGGTGGTTCGGAGAACTGGTAGCAAAAATCCCTGCCCCCCCCCCACATGCCCAACTGAACCATGCGATCCTCAGAGGCTTTTTTTCTTTTAAATGCCTCTGACGATCCAAGCTGAGTTGCCTGATCCTCAGAGGCATTTAAAAGAAAAAAAGCCTCTGACGATCAGGTAACTCAGCTGGGATCGTCAGAGCCTTTTGAAAGGATTTTTTACAACCACTTCGCCGAAGAGGTTGTAGAAAAAATGGTTTTAAAAGTTTTTTAAAAATCGCCACGCCCACCCAATCACATTACCCCACCACCACCAAGCCACGCCCACAGAACCGGTAGTAACAAATTTTAGATTTCACCCCTGGTCTACGGGATCTTGAGACAGATCGTTTTCTCAGGGGTTGGGGGGGACCCTCAGGAGGGGAAGGGCCAGGCGGGGCCAGGCGAGGGAGGCCAGGAGGCGGGGCCAGGTCGAGGCAATGTCAATAAGTTTGTGTTTTTAAAGCAGTCTATTTGTTTTCCAGTGGTTCCAGAGGAGCAGCCCGTCCTGTGGAAACGGGGACCGACGGAGGTATGTCATATTTATTTCTTTAATTGTTTCTCAACACGTACCCAATGGGACCCAAACCCTGGAAGTCAAAATGGCTCTTTTGGGTGAGGGGGCCTGGATTAACCGGGCTTGAGGGTTTTTCCTGGGCTCAGGCCCAACGTCCTCATGGCCTCCATTGCTTTTCAGCAGACGAATTCACGGGCCGGCAACCTGCCCCCTATCAAGGAAGGTCCTCCCCCTCAGCCGTCCTTTACCACCCGCCCCCCCAAGGTAAGCAGTCTAAATCTTCTGGGGCAGGGGTGGGTTCTAATTTTTTTTACTCCCGGTTCTGTGGGTGTGGCTTATTTTGTGGGTGTGGCTTGGTGGGGGGTTAATGTGACTGGGTGGGCATGGCCACCTTTTTTTTTTTTTTAAAAGCATTTTTTCTACAACCTTAAGAGGTTGCAGAAAAAAAATGCTTTGAAAAGCCTCTGACGATCAGGCAACTCAGCTGGGATCGCCAGAGGCTTTTAAAGGCATTTTTTCCCCTACAACCTCTTTGGCTGAAGAGCTTTGGCTTTTATGAGAGCATCTAGTCTTTTGGCCTTAGAGCCGATCTTGCCGTGGAAATCTTTGCCCACTCTTCCTTCAAAAGGGCTCCAAAATTGGAACATTGGGCGCTATCTAACAAAATGAAATTCAAGGGTGAAAAAAGTGAGGTTCTACATTTAGCCAAGAAAAACAAAATGCACAGGGACAGTATATGGGGCACCTCGCTCAACAGGAGTAACTCTCAGAGGGATCTTGGAGTCCTAGTGGACAACCGTTTAAACAGGAGCCAGGCGTGTGCAGCAGCTGCCAAAAAAGCCAACCCAGTTCCAGGCTGCATCAACAATCAAGACCACGTGAAGTGTTGATGCCACTTTTTAAGGCCTTGGTAAGGCCACACTTGGAATATTGCATCCAGTTTTGGTCGCCACGATGTAAAGAGGATGTGGAGACTCTAGAAAGAGTGCAGAGAAGAGCAACGAAGACGATGAGGGGACTGGAGGCTAAAACATAGGAAGAACGGTTGCAGGAACTGGGTGTGTCTAGTTGAATGAAAAGAAGGACCGGGGGAGACAGGATAGCAGTGTTCCAATCTCTCAGGGGCTGCCCCAAAGAAGAGGGAGTCAAGCTATTCTCCAAAGCACCCGAAGGCAGGACAAGAAGCAATGGGTGGAAACTCATCAAGGAGAGAAGCAACTTAGAACTAAGGAGAAATTTCCTGACAGTGAGAACAATCAATCAGTGGAACAACTTGTCTCCAGAAGTTGTGGCTGCTCCAACACCGGAAGTTTTTAAGAAGATGTTGGATAACCATTTCTCTGAAGTGGTGGAGGGTTTCCTGCCTGGACAGGGGGGTGGACCAGAAGGCCTCCAAGGTCCCTTCCAACTCTGTTGCTGTTGTTGTTGTTGTTATAATTATAATTATATGAAATTGTCAGACTTGGGAGGGGGTCTTCTGCTGTGCCCAGCTCTCTTCCGGTCCCCTTCTAAATCTCTGGATTAGATTCCGAGCCCGGATCATTCATTTGATCTTCTTGTAGTGAAGCCACTGTTGTGTGGTGTGTTCTGGGGCAATCTCTGTAGGGCGGAAGGCATGCAAATGCCAGTCTGTTCGAGTGAGTAGTTGTTTTATAATCTAACATTTTTGCTTTCAGCCCTTTGTTCTTTGCAATTAACCTGTTTGTGCATTTCTACAACGTCCTGGGCTTTTCCTAAGCTTTGTTTTTCTTTACTCTGCCTGTTTGGTGGTTTCTGTATCTTTGCCTGGGTTCTGGTGTGTTGTAAACGTTCCTTTTCTTCACCTGTCTGAGGTTTGGATGACCTCGGTTTCCCTCCTTTGTATGGTCGCTTTAGAGCCTTTTTCCTATTCTAATGTGCTTAGAGTTCTTAGTTGTTTGTTTGTATTTGGTTGCAGTTTGTTATCGATTTGGTTTCTAGTCCCAATAGGGGTTCTTCAGATAATAAGACCTCAGAGCATTTCCCTTCCTACAATGCAATGAAGGGACTTGTGGGGCAATTCCGATGGTGGCTGAGGGCTAATCCTACCTTTGCTCAGAATATCCTGTCTTGAATGGATGACCAAATCTGTATTTGTAAAGGTTGGCCCCTTAGTTTCTACTGAAAGAAAGAGGTACTCGCCTTCTTTCCAAGCAGCCTTTGAGCTCAAAACTCAAAACCCCTTTAAAACCCTTGTTCCAAACGGCCAAGGTCTGGGAAAAATCCATCCACGGACCCAATGGGTCTGTGCCAGGAAGGGAGGCTTACCCGGGCCAGGTCCGTTGGTCAGGTGAGTTTGAAGTCCCATCTTGGGGAGCCAAACTGATGGAAGAAATATCCCTCTGGTTCAGTTCCAAGCATGGAAACATGGAGGCTGATTGGAAAGATGGTTTATTGATGGACAGGACGACATGGGTTTGAAGTCCTGGGCAGCTGAGCACATGGAGTGGAGAGTCAGGGGTATTGATACCTTCTCTTGGGCCTTGAACTTGAGCTTGCTGTTCCTGTGCAAGAACATGTATTCTATTGGCTGTTGTCAGACTCCCATGGAGCCATGTGCAAATCCGCAGAGTTTGTCTGAGATACGTTTGGTTGAAGCTTGGGCTGATGCAATGGCCTTAGGAGATTTTGCAATGCAGTGAGCTCTGCGGTTAGATAATCCTATTATGTCCTGGAGGGCCATGTCTTAATCCCAAAACCCTGGAGATGAAGGTCTTTTGTCTTGTAGATAGGATGGCCCAGTCTCTCTTCATGGGCACCAAGTATCTGCTGGGGGCAGGGATTTCTATTTCTCTTTTAGGGGAAATATAATACTCTGCCTTTTTAATATTTCATTCTTCTGGGAGGGAGTGGCTTCCCACAATGGTTATAGCATTGTTTCCTGTAAGGAGAGATTTCTGATTGTTGCAGTAGAAATGGCAACACCGAATTTATGCACACACACAAACATAAAGGTATTTTAAAAATATTTTTCAATTGAAGAAAACGTTTGATGATTCTAGTAAAAATAATCAAGGGACTAATTTCTCTCCGGTTCTCGTATTTACAGCAAAACTCCGAAGGAGGAGCTCCCGCACAAATCTCCCCAGCGTCAGACCACCAATGCAGAACTCTGCAGGCAGCTGGAGGAGAGCCACAGGAGGTGAGAAAGGGCCAGGAATTTTTAGGGAGTCTTAATTCTAAGCAGGTTGGATGGTTGGGGTGAAAACCTGAGGGGGCTAATTTTGCTCCTGTCTTCGTCTCTTACAGAATCGAAACTTTGGAACAACAGTTGCAGTTGGAGAAAGACGAGTATAAGAGCCTCCTCTGCAGAGTTCTGCAGCACGCTGGGGAGAAAAGGGAGCTCCTCACGGAGATTAAAACCCTCCAAGAACAGCTGGAGAGGTGAGAAATATTCAGAAGGGAATCCTTCCTTCCTTGCTTCCTTCCATCTGTCCTTCTATCTATCTATCTATCTATCTATCTATCTATCTATCTATCTATCTATCTATCATCAATCATGAGAGGCCTAATTTCTGCTTTTCTTAATTTACAGGAATTCAAAAACATTTCAACAAATGGTGGAGGAAAGACTTAATTTAAAAAAAGAAAATCAAGAATTAAAATTGAAGAACTGGAAGTTGAGCGAGGAGAAGGCGACCATCCTGCGAAATTTCAGGGAGAGGCTGAGGAGGTGAGAAGCAGGTAGACAGCAGCCCTGACTGAGGGAGGGAGAGGACCAGGATTCCCTGAAGCAGCTTGGTTGAAGCAGGATTCCAGGGTGAAGAACCTGCCCTATAAGGGATGGAGGGAGAGAGGACAATTAGAACGGGGAGGCCACATTTGACCACTTACGACAAAATCTCCCTTTCTCCTTCTTCCAGAGGCAGAGACTGAAGAGGCTGGAAGATCAGGAAGATCCTCTTCCTCCCCCTCCCCCTCCCCCCTTCCTTTCCCTCCTCCCCTCCTCCCTCCTTCCCATCCCCCTCCCCTTCCCCATTCTCCACCCCCTCCTCCCCCTCCCTCTCCTCCCCCTCCCTTTCCCATATATCCCTCTTCCCCTCCTCCTGCCCCTTTTCTCTCTCCCCATCCCCCTCCTCCTCCTCCCCCCTCCCCCTCCTCCCCTTCCCCTCCTTCCCCTCCCTCACCCCTTCCTCACCATCCTCTGCCTCCCTGAAAACATCCAGCCCTCCCTGGAAAGAGCAGGACAAGGGAATACCATCGTCTCCTCGCTCAACTTCCCTAGATTGTGATTGATTGTGATTGATTTTATTTTTATTTTAGTTATTATCAGTTATTGTTATATTACAGTTATATTTTACAGTTATTATGAGTTGTTGTTATATTACAGGTATATTTTATAGTTATTATCATTAATACAAATTATTATTGTTATCATCATCATTATTGTCATTGTCGTCATTTCAACCGTCGTGGATATGACCAGGCTTGACAAGTGTGCAGTAGGAGGCCCCGAACCCTGGGACGGCTGTCGTGGTAGGAGAGGTCTGTCCTGACCCTTCCCTGTCCCCACGGTAGATCCCCTCATGTGGACATCTGGATGGAGATGTCCATCCTGTCAGCTGCATCCAGAGGAGCCAAAGGGAGTGGTCCTTCCTCCCACAACCGTCCCTGGGAACAGGGGCTCCTCCAGTAGAGAGCACGTCCAGCAAGGCCTCTGAAGGGCCAAGTGGATTCTGAGAGTTGTCAGGGAGGTTGTGGCCAAGTGTGAGATTGTGCAGGCGCTGGGGATCCTTACCCACCAATTGAATGGCAAAAATACACCATAGTATATTAAAGTCACTGATAGAGAAGCTCCTTTACGAAATTCTTATATCATCATGAATAGAAAGAATAAAAATCCTCTTTTTTCCCCCAATTTAATCTTCTTTGTCTCCACAAGTTGACTGAGTCTCAAGCCAACATTGATCCAAAACCAGAGGCACATGATAGTTACCCATCACCTTGACATTTTAATGAGAGCGGAGAAGGTGGGAGGGAGATAGTTCTCCACCAGAGTTAAGAGTCACAAACCAACCATTATTTGTAGAAGGACTAATATTTATCTGGCCACGAAAGGGGATTCAGAATAATTCAATCACTAAAACAGAACGATCATAAAAGGAAGAGGATTCTTTTAATGTGAGAAACATTTACCGAGTCTTTAAAAAAAACGACTTTGTTTCTATAAGGATCAGGAATTGGGTATCCATGAGAGCTTATAAAAATAGGGAGCTGGTCTTTGCAGGGGCCACTACAACCGTTTCAATCGCTACTTTAAACGACAGTTAGCATTCAAGTGATGAAGTCAAGTTTGGATGGAGAGAGGGAAATCATCTGGAGTTCTTACGGTTTCTGTTCCCTCCCATCTTTGGATCTCAGCGACTTCCACAAAATAAGATGAAAAGAGAGAAGCTTTGGAAATCCAGGCCATTCAGGAAATTAGACAGGTCCTATAATACAGGAGTAAGTGAAAGAAAAAGGAAAGAAGGAAAGTGTTAGGAATGCAAAGAGAGGAAAGGAAACTCCAGCACAGGGAATGACTTAAGAAGGAAAGTGACAAGGAGGAGCCTGGCTGGAAGTCCTTGCTGTATGCGAACTTCTTTTTCACCTGAGGATTATCCCCCTTGGTTTACTAAATAAATCAGTCTTTTACAACAAAGGCTGTTAATTAATTGCATTAACAGCTGCCAAGAATTCAAAGAATAATAACTGAAAGCTTACTATGACTGGCAGAATGCCCAGAAGCAATTTGCAGGAAGCTGATAAGATAAGCAAGACAAGACAGGAGGGTATGTGAATGAAGTTGTTCCCTGGAAATTGCTTCAGTCGGTGTTCCTCCTTAAATAGGCTAAGGGAGTGGCCAATTAGCCCCAAGCCTTACTCTCGAGGAGACCTCCTCCTGAGGTCTCCTCCTGCCTTTTGGCAGCTCTGTGCACCAGTGCATCAGGAAGAGGCTCCTCCTCTTCGTCCTCTTCACTTAAGGGAGCTTCTGAAGGCCCTGGCTGAATCCCTGCCTCTGGCACCACATCTTCTCCAGCCTCCTCACTGTCCGACTCAAAAGCCAGCTGCACAGGCTGCTGGCGCAGCATCGCACCAGCCTCCTCGCTGTCTGAATCAGCTACTAGCTGCACAGGCCGTGTACGGGCCACAACAGCTGGATAACTATGGGCCAGTCACTCTCAGCCCAAAATTTCAAGCTCAGGGAACAAGCTAGCGGGTCAATTCCGGTTTGTCAATCAATTCCTATTGCAACCAATGAGCAATCAACTCAGGGGTGCAATTCAGCGGGTTCTGACAGGTTCTGGAGAACCGGTAGCGGAAATATTGAGTAGTTCGGACAACGGGCAAATACCACCTTTGGCTGGCCCCAGAGTGGGATGGGAATGGGGATTTTGCAGTATCTTTTCCCCAGTAGTGGGGAGGAAATGGAGATTTTGCAGTATCCTTCCCCTGCCACGCCCACCAAGCCACGCACACCTACCAAGCCCCGCTCACAGAATCGGTAGTAAAAAAATTCAATTCGACCACTGAATCAACTCGGTACCGAAAGAAAGAAAGAAAGGAAGGAAGAAAGAGAGAGAGAGAGAGAGAGAGAGATGGAGGGAGGGAGGGAGATTCTGGCACAATCGGGGTTGAAATTGGAAGGGGCTGACTCGTCCAGAAGGGGGATCCTGACCCACAGGAAGGAAGGAAGGAAGGAAGGAAGGAAGGAAGGAAGGAAGGAAGAAGAAGAAAGAAAGAAAGAAAGAAAGAAAGAAAGAAAGAAAGAGGGAGGGAGGGAGTAAGGGAGGGAGGGAGATTCTGCCACAATCGGGGTTGAAATCAGAAGGGGCAGACTCGTCCAGACGTTGAGAGAGAGAGAGAGAGAGAGAGAGAGAGATCCCCGGGAAGTGGGTGTGGGGAGGGGGAGCTTGGGGGGGGGAGAGTCCTTGGGGGCTTGACCTGAAGGAGGAGGGAGTTCGTCGCAGAGAGGGAAGCGGGGAAATGGGGAGGGGGATCCATGCGGTATTGGGGGGGCTGCAGCTCAAGGGGGGTTCATGGCAGCCCTAGACGGGACCCTCCCCTTCCTTTGCTCTCTTCAGACTCTCAGCCAGGGATTCCCGCTCCCCCCTCCTTCTCCCCCCCCCGACATTCCCCACAGCGATGCCTGAACCCAAAACCGAGCTCGCTCAGAGACCCCCAAGTCCCCGCCGGCTCTGGGGCTGCGTCCCCGCTTCGGTCATCCTCTGCAGCCCCACTGCACGCCTGATCGGGTGGGGGGGAGGGCCAAAGGAAGCCCACCCTCCCCTGCAGGGCTGGCCTGAGCCCCCCTTGAGCTGCGGCCCCCCAAGACTGACAAGATTCCCCCTCCCTCCGCTCCTCTCTCTGCGCCCAACTCGCCCCTCCAGCAGGTGAAATCGACGGAGACTCTGCCCGGAGACCGATGACGCTGAAGAAGGGAGGATTCTCATTGGCCCTTCCGCTTAGTGGCCCGTATAGCCTGCTTGCTCCTTTCCTTCGGCCTTTCTCTGCCCATCCGGCGTTTCTCAGGCATTGCGTCATCTGAAGCCCCATTCCGCCTGAATCCATCCATCCCATCCATCCCATCATCAATCCCATCCAATCCAATCCAATCAATCCAATCCTTTCCCTCTCCCTCTCCCCTTCCCCTCCCACTCCCATCCCTTGCCATCCCTCCCCTCCCCTCCCCTCCCCTCCCTTCCCTTCCTTTTCTTTCCTTTCCTTTCCTTTCCTTTCCCTTTCCTTTTCCTCTCCCTCTCCCTCCCCTTCCCCTCCCACTCCCATCCCTTTTCCCTTCCCTTCCCTTCTCCCTTCTCTTCTCTTCTCTTCCCTTCCCTTCCTTCCCCCTTTCCTTTCTCCTTTCCTTCCTTCCCTTCCTTTCCTTTCCCTTCCCTCCCCTTCCCCTCCCACTCCCATCCCTTGCCATCCCTCCCCTCCCTTCCCTCCCCTTCCCTTTCTCTTCCCTTCCCTTCCTTTCCTTTCCTTTCCCCCTTTACTCCATCCTTCTCCTTTCCCTTTCCCTTTTCTTTATTACCTTTATTTTCTATTTTATGCCATGATAATCTTAATACAAATAATAATAATAAAACGAGCCTTTTGTTTTAGGAGCGCTTCTTGTTGCACAGCCTCAATTTGCAAATTCCTGGGGCGAAAAAACCTCATCCCAATTCCACTCTCCATCTGCCCTTTTCTACTGGCAAAGTGTCTTCCTGACCCACAGAAAGAGGGGCGGTTCCTTCCCATTTGGGGGTGAGGGGCGGAGAATCGGAAGGAGCCGGGTCCTCCAGTCATGCCGAGCAAGAGAGACGCGACTTTCAAGGAAGGAAACGGTTTTTTCTCCCGTAAAGCGAAGCGGCGCCTTTCCCGAGAGAGCCGAGCGGAGGATTTCCCCGGGAAAGGGGGGAGAGCCTGCAGATCCCCTCCGCCTCTTCCTGAGTTAGCTTCCCTTCGGATTGGGGGGTGTCTGTGTCCCCCAAGTCCTGGCTGGCTGCGGGGCTTCCCCTCCCCCCTTGGCATCCCGTGCAGGGACTCTCCCTTGGCAGCCTCTTCACCTGGGGAATGAAATGGGCGTCTGGGTCAGAGGCTCCCAGCCAGGGGGGAAATGGGAATTTGGAGCAGTTTGGAGAACCGGCAAAGTCCACCTCTGCCTGGCCCCAGAGTGGGGAGGGAATGGGGATTTTGCAGTATCCTTCTCCTGGTGTGAGGTAGGAATGGAGATTTTGCAGTATCCTTCCCCTGCCACGCCCACCAAGCCACGCCCACCGAGCCATACCACGCCCACCAAGCGACGCCCACAGAACGGGGGGGGGGATTTGAATTTCACCACTGCTTCCAGCCC